TTTTTTTTTTGTACGGGATTTACAAAGCATGTACACAGAGGCAGAGTGTTGGAGAAAGCACCCTAATTCTGGCCCAGCAGGTCCTGAGTTCTACTTTTGACCCTGCCCTTGACCAGCCACGTGACGTGGACCAGTTCCTAATGTTTGGGGGAGCCACAGGACACTGTGTGGTGGCTGAAGCACGGAGTGCATGGGTGGGGAGGGAACGTGGTGACAGATGAGGCTGCAGGGGCGCCCTATAGGAAAGGTTGGAATTTGTTCCACGGAAATATAACTTAAGCAAGGGAGAGAAACAATCAGATTTGTATTTACCTGGTACCTCTCATGAAATATCCACCAGAAGCTATCCAGCCACATGGCTCTTGGAGAAGGAGAAGAGAGAAACTTCTCTAATTCTCTCTCTGAACAGAAAGCCTTGAAAATAAACAAAATTCGCATTGTTATTGTTGTTTTCTGAAAACACAGGTGCCTCTCTGTTACCATTAGGAAGCACAAGGAGAGCTTGCTCTCACCACGCTCCTGGGCACAGGGCAAGGGCTCCTTGGCACTCCCTTGGCGCCTACGGCCTACAGCACCCTGCATGGCCGGGCAAGCCTCTCCCATTAGGAAGGTGCTCTCTGTGCCCCGCTCTTGGCTTTATCTTTTTCACCATTCCTCGTGTTTCTCTGGACAGGCAGTCTAGTGGCGTCATTAAGAGCATAGACTTTGGTACCTGCCTGCCTGGATTCAAATCCAGTTCATTCCCTTATTGGTTGTGTGACCTTGAGCAAAGTTATTGAACCTCTCTGTGCTCAGTTTCTTCACACAGCAAAGGAAGATGATAATAGTCCCCCCTAGTGATGTTGATCAAGCGCTTAGAACAGTGCCAGGCACTCAGGAAACACTTGATAGAAGGGTGCTAGTTCCTGATTATTCACTCGCACTCCTGCTCCCTTTCAGAGAGGATTTCATATCAGCTCTTTGACAAATATTTATTGAGCACCTACTAAGCATATTGAGACACTGGGTCCCAGGAATGGTGGGGCGATTAGTTAGGAGCAGAGAAGACAATGACCACAGCTGCCTGGGTTACTGGCATTGTGCGGTGGTGAAGGGCGGAGAGGCACAGCTGTACAGCTGCCGGGCCATTTCCCAGGCCTGCTCCCTTCTCCGTCTCCGAGCAGCCGGCATCCATCTCGCATATGCATACAGGTCCTTCTGGGCCTCGGGACACTCCCTCCTGTTTCCCTAAGGAACCTAGTGTGCTCTAGCGCACAGATCTCCAAGGGGGTATACGCTCCCCAAGGGGCATGGAAATAAAATATTCTAACTAATGTCTACTTAAGAGAGAAAAGAAATCAAGCTTACTAATATGCAATGTAGCGACTGACAACAAAACAAGTATATAATTTATAAACAGGCATACATCTATGACGATGTGTACTCAAAAATTTTTCGCTAGTAGGATACGTGATCAAAACAGTATGGAGACTGTTGCTCTGGTAGAAGGAATCTAGGTTTTGGAGTGAACTTGAGCTGGGGTTCCTAGCTCAGCTCAGTCATTTGTGTGTGGCCCTAGGCAAGTTCCTCAACAGCTCCTGGGTATGAAAGGGGGGCACCTGCGTCTGCCCCCGGGGAGTTGCCAAGTTAGGGCAGGGCTGCCCGTGGCTGGGCGAGCTGCCTGTTCTCTTTCCTCACCTTGCCACTGAGGGTATTTCTCTCAGCCCGGACCACGTTGCCCACCATGTCGCAGAAGTCCACTCCATTTGGAAGCTTGGTTGGCTTAGAGCTGTCGAATTTGGGATACTGGTACAGCTCTGCCAGAAGATTTTTATCTGCTGTTTTCTGAAGCGAAAGAGCAGAAGACGAAAATGAGGGCCATCATTTTACAGTTTAAAACAATAGGACATCTTCCCCTTTTCATTATGAAGACAATGTCACAACCTGGTAGAATGCTGAGAAAATGATGGGTACTCATGATCCCAGGACCCCGTACCAAACACCTGTGCACACTATTTCTGTTTTCCTCCTCACAGGCATTGAGCAAATGTATAAAATACATATATGTAACTTCATCATTATATATATATACATAATATAGTATATATACATATGATTTTTATGTCCTGTTTTATCTACTTTAGATTTTTCACATAGCTATGTTGTCTTCAAAATTATCACTTAAAATGACGTATCCTATTAAGAAGATGTGCTCTGATTACTTTCAGTTAATATTTCTGTCATTAATGACTTGGAGCATATAGCGTTATTCCACTTTGGGGTTATTTATGTAGTAAGAATTTCACGAAATGGTAATATTGGATCAAAGGATATGACTATGTTTATGGCTTTTAATATATATCATTAAATTGATTTTTAGAATAAAACTAAAACATGATGACTATAAAAAATGTAAAACTACAGAAAAGTAGTGAAGTGGAAAATTGGAAAATTTCACTAAAGTGGAATTCTTAGAAAATTCCACTACCGGGTTTTTTCTCCCTTGCGATCCTTCCCTGGGCCTCCTCCTCCTCCCCTGCAACCTTTCCCCCACCTGGCAGCTGCTGCCCTCATAAATCACCTGTAGCAATTAGTGTACCAGGCTGTAGAGTAGCTTAGGACTTTGCCTCACTAAAGTTAACTCTGTTGTAACCGTGCCCCTCCCTCTTAAGCAGAGTGTGTAAAAGACTGCAGTGCTCTTTGTCTGGTGCTCAGAATTTGGAGGGAAAAATCTCCATCTGAGCCCGCTGGCGTATAAACCTGTTTTTGCCAATATTTCTGTGTGCGTGTCAGTCTATTCCCAGTCACCTCTGCCGTAACAGTAAAAAGAGGAAACCAATTGCCACCATGCAAAGGCACCTACTGAAACACCTGGATGGCCTGAATGGCTTTCTAACTGGGCTACGGCAACGGGCAGTGGAAGAACAGCTCAGTGATTCCCTGTGCTGACTCACAGTCAGACGACCTGAGAAATGGCAGCTCCGCGTGTGCTAGCTGTGCCTCCCTGGGCAGGACACGCAGACCTGCTTGGCTACCATCAGTGGACAGTGTGACAGTCTCATTGTAGACTCTCAACCATTAGGCCTCATGCTGTTTTGGAATTTCCTAGGCTAAAAGGTGTAAAAAGGATAACAACAACATACGGTTTCATGTTCTCCAGTGTTTAAAGGTGTGAATGTATACGACCTGGGTGGTTTAAAGAACAAGCTGAGAAGGATCTTAACTGGGGTGACTGCGAGGTGGGGCCAGATTGCTGCAGGGGAGGCAATAGAGAACGTCTGGCCTTGAGTCAGAGGACTGAGCAGGAAACTGGGTCTGCCATTAGCAAGCTGCAGGACCCTGGGCTTACTGCTCCTGAATCTCAGCTTCCTGGGACAGCTGCCTTGAAGGCACAATGAGCAAGGGGTGTGACAGAGCAGCCACACAGGTCGTGTGGTTGGCCCCTTGGAGTTGCATGGCACAGCGGCTCTGAGCTAGGCTTGAATGCATTGTCTGCAAGGGGAAACACCTTGTAAGTTCCAAAAATAAACACACATATGACCTCTGCAAGAGTCCCCATTCTGAGGTTGAGGTCAGCTCTGCCCCTTTCAAGGGTGTCACGAGAAATTTTAGAGTTATCAAAGTATGTTAAGATCCTTTTTTAGAAAGGGACTCTGTGATTTTCCTTCATAATCACCACCCAGGCACCAGGTATCTCCTCCCTAGGAATAAAATCTATTTCATGCTCAGCAGAAACCATTCAGAAACAGACTCAGCAATAGATCCCTTACCCGTTTTGTAACGTAAGATCTGGCAATCCTGAATTCCGTGCCTTTGCAGGAATACTGTGATTTTCTTTGTCTCTGGACTGCAGAAGAATGGAAGAAGAGAAAGGAATGAGTATCCACAGGGTCTATCTATGGCTGTGCAGTAATTATAACTGTGATTTTTCATTCAACCTGAGCTGCCAGTTGACACTCATACTACTAGTCTCGTAGATCCCAGCTGTGTGGCTGACTCCCTCCCTGATCTGGTTAGGCCGCTCGGTCCAGAGAAGCAGCAGGGAGTAGACAAACTAAGGTTTTAGGTAAGTTACTCCCCTCCCCGCAAGCCTGTTTCCTCATCTACAAACTAAATTGGATGGTACCTAACCCCCAAGTAGGGGTGTTATAAAAATTTAACAAGGGAGTTTGACGAAAGCACCCAATGTCACATAGTGTCACACAGTAGGTAGTCTCTAAATGATACTGTCCCTCCCTCCTTCCTTGCCCAATGTCAAGAAGTCAGATTTAAGGCTCCTTCAGAAGAAGGTAAAAATATCCTCATCCAAAACTCTGGATTCCTACTTAATTGCATTTTAGATACTAAAAAAACAAAACCCCATGAAAACACCATCAAGGCTACAAAAAATGATTTTTGCCTCTGTCTCCTGGGCTGCCGTGACTTTTCTCTCTTAAAGCCTTCTTCTCCAACTCAAATCTCTCAATTGCCTTCAAAAACCAGAAAAAAAAAAACGGAGCATTAGGGATTAATGCAAAGCCTGGAGGAGGGTGGGGTCAGGGACTAGGCCTCTTTCTTCTCTTGCTGCTGCACAAAAGGCCTAAAGCCAAGTTTGTGGCCTTGTTGTCTTCCCCCTAGGTGGTAGGACCCAGTGGTCATCAGTGTCACTGACATCATCCCCTTGAGTGTCACCACCAACACATCCCCCACCCCCCACCCTCTCACACTGCCCTTCCTGCTGGCTACACCTCTGGGGAGTATAGGACTTGGAACAGGGTTCCAATCACAGCCCCCCAGGGTTACAAGCTATTGTTTAACCTCTCTGTAAAAGGGGGATACCTACCTTCCAGGTCCTTAGAAGGATGAGAGATAAAGTATCTAATGTATTTAAAAACACTAGCACAGAGGCTATCAGATAGGAGCTGTTCAGTTAAGGGGTAGGTATTAGCATTAATCATCATACCCTTGACCTTTCAAGAGAGACTTCTCTTGATCTCTGACTCCTCCCAACCCCCCACCCTCCAACTCCCTGCAAAGGAAAGAAAGAAAAATGCATGTCAGTGACCCACAAGTTGTATCAATTGTCAACCAAGAATCTAGCCATGTGCTGGGATAACAAAGTTAACAAAGAAGTATGATTCTGTGTTCTTGCCCTTAAGGGACTTGCAATCTTATTTGGAGAGCCAAATTAACACACATGGAACAATTAAGTGCTAACTGGCTGCATTTAAGATTCAAACAAGTGAGATCAGTATGGGCTGGAGTAGCCACAGAGGACTGCCTGGAAGAGGAGAGCATTGGTGTTGTGGGTACATAAAGAGGCATCAGTTTCCTCAGCTTGATAAACCGTGAAATGCCTCTCCAGGCTTCCCCCACCTTTCTCCTGAATCAGCACTCCCCAGTCCCCAGAGTTAAAGGCTACTGGACATGTGTGCAGGGGTGCGTGTATTTGTGTGTGTAGGGGGTCACATTGATAAGTCTACATATTAACATTGTTGCTCCAGTTAAGTGAGATAAGACACGGTGAATGAACTGGAGGGGTGTGTGTCAATGGAGCAATATGAAAATGTCTCTGATCCTTACCAAGTGTCATTGTAGCAGATATTGCATGACTCCGAAGGATGGATAAGATACGAACAGAAAAAGAGGAGAAAGGATTGTTGAATGTTGGAAGAAGAGCAGGTTTTAGAGAAAGATGATGAGACCAGCATTGGGCTGAGTTTGTGTTTGAGATGACAGCAGGACCCACAAGTAGGGCTGTCCCCTGGGAAGGCATCTCCCAGACCCGGCAAGTGACCAGCATCATTTGGGAATTATTCAAATATACAGATTCTTGGGCCCTCATATCAGAGATGGTTATTCCTCAGGTCTGTGTTGGGTACTGAGTTGTTTATGTATTTATTTTGGCTCCTGAATAGTTCTCTACTTCAGTTTTAAAAACCAATAAATAATTTTCATGGTATAAGATCAAATAGTAGGGTCAAACATCTCCCTCCCACCCTTTGTGCAATTCCCATCCCCACAGGCAACCAAGCTACTTCCTGGCATAGCCTTCCAGAGACGTCCATCCTGTCGAAGCGGGAATATGCCAGACACACTTCTGCATCTTGCTCTTTTCACCCACTTACTATCTGAGAGCTCTCTCAGTTTTTAAAAAGTGCCCAGGAGAGTCTGATGATTAGCTAGGTAGAAGTATCACTGCTCTACGTGGCTAGAAATAGGAGACTGAAATACAGGTGAGAATCTAGAATTTGTGAATGTATCATACATTCCACAAACATTTCCTGAGCGCCTACTAAAAGCCAAATGCTGTGCCAGATGTTGAGGATGTAACAGCGAACGCTGTCCCTGCCCTCCAAGGGCTCACAGGCTGGTGGGGAAGAAGCCGGTAATGACAAGGGGGTTGGTGCTGCCATGGGGAGGGACAGGATGCCAGGAGAGTGCCCAGAAGGGGTGCCTACATGAGTCTTGGAGTTGAGAGTTCAGGGCAGGCCTTTCCAGAGGTAGTGACCTACAGGCTGGGAGCTGAAGTGAACGGCAAGGCTGTGATGGTGGGCAAACTAGTAAGTCTGGAAAGAAGAGCTGAGCAAGGTTCATGGGAACCTAGAGGGAAACCCACTAGAGGGACTAGAGGGAACCGCACACTTAGGGCACGGGAGGAGGGGGCAGAAATAGGACACAGCCTGAGACCTGGGCATCAGACTCAGAGGTCTGACCTCAGCAGACCTCACTCAGAATGAGATGGAGCGTTCATTCGTTCGTTAGTGCACATCTGTTAAGCACTTCTTATGCACCAGGTGCTAGGTGCCATCTATCATACTAGGACAGGAAGATGCTAGAGAAACCAGTCTGGCTATAGGTGCTGATGTGGGGAAAGTGGCCACACAGTCAAGGCCTGGTGTATAAAGGACATGGCAAATTGTCCAACAGAGGGTGGACAGGGTAGCACAGGGATGGGTTGCTGGCAGCAGGCAGTTGGCTTCTGACAGAGGAGCAGGAAGGACAGGCAAGGGTCCCTTTCTCTAGCTCATGTGGGGACCCAAGGTTGCTCCTGACAACCCCATCCTGGTTCTGACTGGCAATGATGAACACCCAAGGAGCTATGCCAATGCTGGGCGGTCTTGAAAGGCCACCAGATCCTGCTTCAGGGAGAGTAAGTTCATTCTTTTTCCTAGTTTTAAAAATTATTATTAAAAAAATCACAGAAGTGACATATAAATGCATTCTTGTCTTAAGATATCCAAATATTACAGAAGTATATGGAATAAAAAAATTTACCCACCTTCCATCCCATCCCCCTCTCCAGAGCTGACTCTGCTAACCATTGGCATCTATCTGTCCAGACTTCCTTCCTACACATTTATACACATATCCTGTCTTGCTACGAGCCAGGCATTTTTCTAAGCCCTGTGCTAAGGGCTTGTGTGAGTTTTTTTTTTTTTTTTTGAGACAGAGTCTCACTGTGTTGCCCGGGCTAGAGTGCCGTGGCGTCATCCTAGCTCACAGCAACCTCAGACTCCTGGGCTCAAGCGATCCTCCTGCCTCAGCCTCCCGAGTAGCTGGGACTACAGGCATGCGCCACCATGCCCAGCTAATTTTTTCTATATATTTTTAGTTGTCCGATTAATTTCTTTCTATTTTTAGTAGAGACGGGGTCTCGCTCTTGCTCAGGGTGGTTTCAAACTCCTGAGCTCAAACAATCCACTCGCCTCGGCCTCCCAGAGTGCTAGGATTACAGGCGTGAGCCACCGCGCCCGGCCTTGTGTGAGTTTTAATTCATCTAACTCCTGCAACATTATGAGGCAGTACATTATTAAGGTTATCGCCTTTCACAGGAAGCTGAGACTCAAAGGTTAAATAATTTACCTAATGTCACAATGCAAGAGAACAGTTGAATGGAACTGAAACTCTGACAGTCTTACTCTAGAGCCCGTGCTTCCAGTAATATACCATCTCCTACAGATAAATGAACGTAAACACATATATTAATAGAACGCTTTTTAACTTAAATGGAATCATTCCAAACAGTGTGAGTATATATTTTGCTTTCATTCACAATTTAATTCTAAGTGCTGCTTAGTGGTGGCGTAGGAGAGACTGAAGCTAGTGGTCTCTCTCCTAAAACATTCGCAGATAAGCTCCAAGATACATGTACAGAAATATTCACATGTTCACTATGGTGAAAATGGCACTGAAATATTTATTAACAGAGAATATTTATATAAACTACGCCATAAGCAAACTATAGAATATTATGCAGCCACTGAAAGAATGGGGTAGGTCAATAGTTCTGACTTTGAAAAAATCTCCAAGAGGTATTTACGCCAAAAGTAAATAAACAAATGAATAAATAAGAGAAAACAAAAGCAGGTGATAACACGATATTTATGGTATGATCCTGCTTATGTTAAAAAAGAGAAAATAATAACCTAAAGGTATGTGTTGTGTATTTCTAAATGTATTTTAAAAGTTATGGAAGGATACATGCCATGCAATTAGCGGAAACGTGACTTTCATTTTTACTTATATACTTGCAGATTGTTTGAATATTTTACAATAAGCATGCATTACCTTGCTATTTAAATTTTAAAAGATAAAAGAAAAAGATTGACTCAAGAGCTCAACTGACCCCACAAGTCAGTACTAGATAAGTTGGGCTGAGGGTGAAGCTAAAAACCATGGAGGCAAATCACGAGGTCAAGACCTGGGGGTAGAGGAAGTCGGCAGAAAGCAAAATGCCAAGTGGGAAGGGGTGAGAGGGTTTAGGTGGAGTGAACTGGCAGGAAGTAAAAGGGCGAGGCTAAGACAGACCAAAGAAGCAGAGGGACATAATGGGAGGGGAAGGAAGAGGAGGAGGGAGGGGGAGGGGTAAGGAGAGGAGAGCGAAGAGGATGGAAAGGGGAGAGGAGGAACAGGAGGAAGGAGAGGAGGGGAAGAGGAAGAGGAGGATTGGGAGAGCCAGGAAAGCACAGTGGACTGAGGACGGGACCAAGGGAGACTCACAGACAAGGCCTTCCTCTCAATCTACAGAACTGCACTGCCGACAAACGACTTGGGTTTTAATCTAGTCTGAGTCCCTCGCATTGTGTCTGGAGGCAGAGACGTAACAGATGAGTGAAGCAGGCCAAATTAAGACCATGATGGCAGCTAACACAGGAACAGTAGTGTGGCGGGGGAATGTGGTGAGCTGTAGAGCTCACGCCCTGATAAAGTGAGCCCCTGCTCCTCTGCTCCAGCTGGCGGCTGCCGCGTGCAAGTGCAGACCCCGGTAGCAGACTGCTTGGGCCAGCTGGTGCAGACCAGTGAAAACACACGGGCAGCCTGGCCCTGGCCCACAGACTGCCAGTGAGAGATCTCTAGGGTAGAGGAAAAACCTGCAGGGTAGGGAGTGAACTTGCCCTCAGCACACAGGATCTCCCACCAAAGAGTAAATCATTATAATCGTCCTCCTCATAGCCACCATGTATGGGGTGAGGCAGGTGAGCTGGGCCTGTCCAGTCTGAGCAGTGTGTGGAATTGAGCCCCCAAACATATACCCGAAACTGTTGAGGAACAGGTCCTTAGTAGTGACTCATTGGTTGGTTGGCACTGCTTTGCTGCTCTCATATTTAAATCTCTCTCCATATCTTGGAGAGTTTTAAATTTATGCCTCAGATTTCTTAAATGCAGTTAAAAATAAAAATCAACTACACACTGTTGCCAAAACCCAAGATAGCCAAAGACACTTACAGATAGATGATTCATGCCAATGTTCTTTCATCTTCTGGGGGCTGTGCTACACAACTGCTACTTGTGTAACCTTTAGAACTCCTGGCTTCCCACATCAAGCTCTGTGTGTGTGTGTGTGTATGTGTGCACGCACATGCATGTACGCAAGCACTTAAAGATTATGGGAGGGATTGTTTTATTTATTTAATATTTATTATTTTTTTATAAAAGTGAATCAAAATTAACCTTCAGACTTCTAGTTTCTGTTCCCACATGTAAGGAGCTCAGAAGTCACCATTCTGTCCTAACAACAAGTAAAAAACAGAACAAACTGAAAATCAACAACTCTTCTTAGATCTTTCAGAAAAGTGAGGTCACAGGGCAAACTGCTACCCCAAAACTGGAGAGACAGGCAGGCAGATGTGGAGTATCGCAACTTACAGGAGAAGAAACCACAAGCAGAAACCTCCACAGGAACCAGCAGGAAAACCTGATGACTTGCTGGAGGCTCAGTGCAGACAATCTGAGAGCTAAAATCCCAAAGAGTCACAAAAATTCACTCAAAGTAGATCACCATCCTAAATGTAAAACGCAAACTATAAAACCCCTGGAAGATAACACAGGAGAAAACCTAGATGACCTTGGGTTTAATGATGGCTTTTTAGATATGATACCAAAGGGACAATCTATGAAAGAAAGAATTGATATGCTGGATTTCATTAAGATTAAAAGTTTTGCTGTGTGAAAGAAACTGTCAAGAGAATGAAGTAACAAAACACAGACTGGGAGAAAATATTTCCCAAAGACATATCCAGTAAAGGATTATGTTATCCAAAATATACACAATACTCTTGAAACTTAACAATAAGAAAATAACCCAACTTAAAAAGGGCCAAAGACCTGAACAGACACCTCTCCAAAAAACATACACAGATGGCAAATAAGCATATGAAAAGAGGCTCCACATCATATGTCATCGGGGAAATGAGATATTGCTACACACCTACCAGAATGGCCAAAATCTGGAACACCGACAATAGCAAATGCTGGTGAGGATGTGGAGCAACAGGAACTCTCTCATTCGATGCTGATGGGAATGTGCAAAATGGTACAGCCACTTTGGAAGAGAATTTGGCAGTTTCTTACAAAAATAAACATACTCTTATACAATCCAGCAATCATGCTTCTAGGTATTTACATAAATGAAGTGAAAACTTGCATCCACGCAAAAACCTGCATGCAGATGCTTATAGCAGCTTTATTCCTAATTGCTAAAACTTGGAAGTAACCAAGATGCCCTTGAGTAGGTGAGTGGATAAATAAACTGTGGTACATCCAGACAACAGAATATTATTCCACAGCATTAAGAAGAAGTGAGCTATCAAGCCATAAAAAGACAAGGAGGAAACTTAAATGCGTATTACTAAGTGAAAGAAGCCGGTCTGAGAAGGCCACATACTGTATGATTCCAACCATATGACATTCCGGAAAAGGAAAAACTATGCAGACAGTAAAAACATCAGTGTTTGCCATGGGTTAGGAGGTACAAAGAGATGAATAGGCAGAGCACAGAGGATTTTTAGGGCAGTGAAACAAACTCACAGGATGTACAACACCAGGAGTGAACGCTAATGTAAACTATGGACTCTGGGTGATTAGGATGTGTCAGTAATCACCCAAATGTACCACTGTTCATTGAGTGTAACAAATGTGCCACTGTGGTGCAGAATGGTGATAGTGGGGGAGGTTGTGCATGTGTGGGTGCAGGGTGTATATGGGAAAACGCTGTTCTTTCCTATTTTGCTGTGAACTTAAAACTGCTCTAAAAAAATAAAGTTCATTGATTTTTTTAAAAAATTAACTTTGAGTCCTCAATTGTGTACACATGTTTTCAAATACACGGAGGGCCACAGGGCACTGCGACACCTTGATGATCCCAGAACCCTTCCTCCTGGAAAGCCTTGCCTCAGATCCCACACCCGTAACTCACCAGGCTGTTGGCGGGTGGGTTGAGACTCAGGTCTACTTTGGCAATCTTTTTGTTCACCTGGTGCATGGAGCCAATGACGCACGCTGGGCGGTGAGTCTGCTAAGGGGAACGAACTCTCCGGGTGGTGGGCACACGCACAACGGGGTGGGGCTTGCCTGGCGAGGATGACAGCCCTGTCTGCGCTGCCTCTCCACTTCATTATTTTCTTTGCAAACTTCCCCACCTCTTTATGCCAACACCTTAACAACCCTGCTAGCATTTAGGGAGATTTCCTCCCAGTATTTTTTACATACGTGCTTTTTTACATAATCATAATCTCAGTATATGCTTGTTTTACTACTCTGACTTCTCTTCCACTCATTATTATGAGCATTTTCCACATGGCTAAACAATCTTCATAATAATCATTTTAAAACCACATTATACTAACCCATTTAGAGGATACACCTTAATAAACTTAACTGTTTCTTGGCTATCGAATACTTAAGTTGCTTACACTTTTTTGCAGGTATAAATGGTGTTGTGATGCACATGGTCACGTAGAGAGCTGTTTCTATATTTTAGAATATTTCTTTAAGAGCGATTTAAGGCGAGGGATGATTGGGTCAGAGGGTATCTTGACCTCGACCTTGTTTATCACTGTGGAAATCTGCTCAGTTGTATGGTCCCTCTTGTTGCCCTCTCAACACTGGCATTTCTTTCTGTCTTAGTCTCAACTGATGGATGATACATCCTTTGTAAAAGCCCCATAATCCCATCACCTCTCATTCCCTTCACATACAGCAAGGTTCACTCTTACTTCCATTACGCTTAAATGTTCTTACAAACTGGAGAATACTTGAAAAATGAAGACGCCAAGAGGGGACATGACAAATCATAGAAGGTGAAATGGATCATGAGGTGGAGATGAGTGTGGGATTAAGAAGAAAGAGGGAGCATTAGAAAGAGGCCTAGCCAAGTAAGACCCTGAAGCAGATTCAGATGGAATCACGCTTTGGTTCATCTTAAGAAAGGCTTCTGAGAGGTGTGGAAAGTGAAGGTGCAGAGAGATACATGCGGATTGGCTGGTGGCAGCACGACTTGAAGGTAAATAAGCTCTAGATGAGATGGAAAAGCCTAGGGTTGTTTATCACCTGAGAGGGTTATTTGTTGGACAAGCTCTAAGGTCCTCCAGAGAGGGGGTTCTGTGACCCTGGGATACAACTCAGGGTCAGAAGTGAGATGAGGATGAATGAAGATAAGGCCAGGGAAGTAAGATGCTGGTGGAGCCTGGATGATGGCAGGAGGGGCAAACTCTGGGCCCAGGTAGAAGGGCTGGCAGGTGGGAAGAGGCAAGGACAAGGTCAACTGGAGTAAAAAAAAGAAAAAGCTAGATCTTACACTCATCTGTCTGAGGGCAGAGGGCTGAACCATGACTTCTTAGTTACTATCAATCAATAACATCTGTAACTATAATTGTTTGGAAGGTGGAAGGGATAGAAGGTGACAAAAAATGAGCAATTTTTCTCTTTTTCCCTTTTTTTTTTTTATAATTTTTTCACCCTCTCAACCCAGCTTTTCCCAACTCTGGGAAGAGAAGCTCTTTTTCCCTTTTTTTTTTTTGAGATGGGGTCTCATTATGTTGCCCAGGCTGATCCGAACTCCTGGGCACAAGCGTTCCTTCTGCCTCAGCCTCCCGAGTAGCTGGGACTACAGGCATGCGCCACCATGCCCGGCTAATTTTTTCTATATATTTTTAGTTGTCCAATTAATTTCTTTCTATTTTTAGTAGAGACGGGGTCTCGCTCTTGCTCAGGCTGGTTTCAAACTCCTGAGCTCAAACAATCCACCCGCCTCGGCCTCCCAGAGTGCTAGGATTACAGGCGTGAGCCACCGCACCCGGCCTTTCCCTGTCTTTTAACAAAGACTTCCAGTACCTCTTCCTTTTGGGCTCTTTCTGATCACATTAGTGAAAACACTCAAGTCAAACAATGCTTCATGGTTTCAAATTCTTTTAGAAGACAGGCAGGGCTTAAGTAATGAAAAAAAATTAATGAATATAAAAGGGACGAGCTAATAAGTAATGTGTCTTATAGACTTGAGCACTGATTACATCTCTGCAGCATGACTCAAATTAGGTACATTTGGTCTATCTGTCAGCAACACCACCGGAAGGATACAGGGTGGATTGTCCTCTGAATCCTTCCTCACAGCACTCTGCGTTGCGTTCCGGGCAGAAGAGATGATCAGGTGTTCATCCACTGGTGTCACTGGTAAGGCGGTGATGTTGATGATCTCCATCTTCCTGATACAATTCACTGTTCAACTTCTTGTAAAGTGACAAACAAAAAATTTCCACTTTTAGAAGCCTCTCATTTTCCACGCCAATCTTGTTCTCTGTTCAATCAGTCTCCTGGAAGTCGCAAATAGCATAGAACTAACTTAGAAAACACAAGAGGAAAAGGCAAGGCACACTCACTTGTTAAGCAGGACTGATGGTGAGGCACATGTCCCATGCATACGTGGGGAATAAAGGCTTTTGTCTGAGAAGCCCATTCTTAACTAAGGATTTCAAGGTATGTGGACTTGTTCTTTCAACCTGCTGATGCCTGCCTCTCCCCCCTCTTCCATGATGACAATTGTTCTTGTTTTATTATAGAAATAAGGAAATTAGGCTGGGCGCAGTGGCTCATGCCTGTAATCCTAGCACTCTGGGAGGCCGAGGGGGGTGCATTGGGCACACGCCTGTACTCCCAGCTACTCAGGAGGCTGAAGCAGGAGGATCACTTGAGCCCAGTAGTTTGAGGCTGCAGTGAGCTATGATCACGCCACTGCACTCTAGCCTGGGCAACAGAGCGAGACCCTGTCTCAAAAAAAAAAAGGAGACTAGAGTGCTGAAAAGGCCAGGGCTACAGACCACCCAGCAAGTCAGCTCCCAAACTAGAAATGAAAATAAATCTCTTTGCCTCTTTGAGCCTCAACTGTAAAAGTAAGAGATTTGGATTAGGCGACCATTTCCAGCTTGCAGATGCTACGACTCTGGGATACTGGGTCCATCGCCTGATCTACCTGAGGCTTTCTGCTCCCTCTCAGAAAACGGGCCCCAATGCTACTCTTCCTCCCTGGCTCTAGAACACTCTGGCCTGCCTGCTCTCCTGAGTCCTTGCTTATTAGCTAGGAGCCCATCACTCCATTTGTGAGCCTTCGTGTGCAGAGCCTAGTGCAATAGGTCTGCTTACAATAAAGTAAAAGACTGAGATCCTGCCCTCAAGAAGCTCAAACATAATGGAAGGAGAGAGAAAAGATTGAGTTTGGCAGAAAAATTGACTGAGATGCCCTTTCACCATGCTCTCCTTCCCTCTCTGCCATTGAAGCCTTTGGTCCACCCTTTTCTCCCCAGCCATGCGTCCTCTATGCCTCACCCACTGAACTTCCTCCTGGTCCCCGACAATGCCATGCTCCTCATGCCTCTACGCCTTTGCACATGCTGGGCTTTGACTAAGCCCAGGTGATACATCTTTTGGAAAATCTTGAATTATTCCAGGCCATTAGTACCATGTAGCATTAGTACAAAGCCCAGGGCTCTGCTTTCATCTCTCTACTATGGGATTTATAATATTGAACTGGGATGATTTGCTTCTACCTCTTTCTCCATTAGGCAAATTTTTCCTTAGGGATTAGGTTCATTCAATATTTGATTCCTTTTAGACTCACTCACATTTCTTTCTAGTCCAAAGGGGCTATCTATCTTGGGCTGTCCCAGTCAGCTGAGTTGTAGGAAAGGCTTGTCCGGGCCCAGGTCGATACTACTTCCTGCCCACTGCTCCCTGCCTTTAGCCATACAGGCAAAGAGAAGGGAGTAAAGAGGTGGCAGGTGCATTTTAGGGCTTCTCGCTTTCCTCCTACCCACTCTCCAGCACACCTGGAAAACTGCAATATGTTCTCTGAGAAGCCAGGCTTAGGGCGATTCTGTCAAGAAGCCTCTTGCTTTGATTCAACATTACTGCTCATGCCTAATGAGTAATGGGAGAAATGACTCTCACACTTCCTAAGAAAAATGGTTAAAATACACACTCTGTTCCCTTTGGAATTTTTCATCATACTATTTTAGGATAAGTATTCTCCAAAACATGCTAAGTTTTTACCGCCATTACTTGGGGAAGAAAAAAGGAGCTGGGAGAAAACTAGCTTCGCTGAATATCTACCCTGTGGCAAGCACTGTGCTGTGTGCTGGGGGCAGATGAGTGGAAGAATAAGAAACTTTCTGCCCTTATGGAGCACACATTCCTGCAGTAAAGATTTGAATGTCCCCTTTTTAAAGTTAACATGTTTGCACATGTAAAAACAATGCTGACTTTAGAGTCTCACAGATTTTTGTTCATTTTGACCTTCAGTCATTAAATGACTATTTACTGAGTATCTACTGCAAGCCAGCAGCATGTTTCTGCTGGGGCAGGATGGTGAGCTAAACCAGACTTGATTCCTGTCCTAATGGGGCTTACTGGGGGAGACAGGCAGTAATCAAAAATGACATAAATAATTATAAATTATAATTATGAATTATAACTGTCACCACTGTTTCGAAGGGAGGCACATAGCACTGAGATGACATAATAGTGTGTTTTGACCTAGTCATGGAGGTCAAGGAGCTGAAGGAAGAGCAAAAGTTAATTATATAAAGGAGAGGGGAAGTACTGTACCATCCAAGCAGAAGGGAGTGAGCCTGGAAAGTAGGAAGAGGCTACACCTGTACTGTCCATCGCAGTAGCCACCAGCCACGAGAAAATTGAGCCCCTGGAATTTGGTTAGTGTGAGTGAAGAAGTAAAATTTTAACTTTAATTAAAAACTGGAGCAGTGCAAATTTAAAAATACTGATTATATGTTGAAATAATAATATTTTGGATATATAGAGTTAAAACATTCAAATTAATTTCACTTTTGCTTTGACTTTTAAAAATGCGGCTACTAGAAGATTCTAAATTACATATGTGGTCTGCTTTATGTTTCTACTGGACAGTGCTGGGCTACACCGTGCAGATTTCTTTCTAGGACATGGAAATCTCTACTCTCTAATGTATAGTGTCATTGGAAAAAGAATTGCGCTTGGAGCAGAGTCCCTTGGGTCCTGTCCCTGATTGGATGGATGACCCGGGACATCCATTAGGCAGCCAGTAAATATCCCTAGAATGGCCTGAGTTTCTTCATCTATCAAATGGAACCAATAATACACGCTGCTAGGACTTGAGGAGGTCTGGAGCCCATTCTCCAGTTCTCTGCCTCTTGCTCACTGTGCGACCTTGAAACAGTCCTGGGTCTGTTTCCCTTGCTTGCAGAAGCTGGATGTCAAGGCTGATGAGGGGCAGGCCTGCCCTGAGCCCGCGCGCCGCTGGAGGCCGTCACTGCCCGTCTGTCCGTCTGTCTTACCTGAAAGCATCGGCGGAATTTGACGAACCCGGGGCCGGTTCCACCACGGGTCCCTCACGGGACCCCGCAAAGTTCTGGTTGGGCACCGGACACCCGTTGCCCCCACATCCACCAGGAAGGGTGCCCTTTGCTTTGTGGTCGGGGAGAGGGAGGAGGGGAGTCGGGGAGAGGCCCATTTTGCTACTGTGAGTCCAGGAGTTCTCCAGGCAACGCGGGGCGCGGTCTTGACTTTCCTCTTTCCCATAACAAAGGAACCGTCGCGAGCCACCCGGGTGTCTCCGGGACGCCGTTACCACGGTGACCGCCTCCGCTGTGGGCCTGGGGACCAGACCAATGTGTTCGTGTGGAGGGTGTAGTTTCTCGTCCTAGCCTGTAACGTGGGCATGTGAATGTCCCCAGAAGACATTTCCATTGTATGAGGTATTTAATATGCCGAGAGGAGTTCGCCAGAGTCCTTCGCGCAGTCTCGTGTTGGGGACCCCGCGGCACCGGGTTCCCCCTGTGTGTTCGGTGGCAGAGGCCGGGGCGGGGCTGCGCGTGCGCGCGGCGGGCGGGTGGCGGGGGCCGGCGAGCCGCGGTCGAGGCGGCTGACCCGGACTCTGGTAGGTCCTTAATGGGGGTCTCGGGTGCGCTTGGACCCCAGCTTCTGGGACGCGTCAGGTACGTCTCCGAGTTTGGCGTCGCCGGGCAGCGAGGCCTGGGCTCGCCTGAGGGTCCGAGGAGGAGGGACTCCCGGGCCTCCCCCGGAGAGAGGCGGCAGGAGGGCGCCGCGACGCAGGCAGAGGCCGGGTTCACCCTAGGCGCGTCGCCGCCCTCCTGTAAGTGTGTTTCCGCGGTGGTAAATTGGGGCAGTAATTCCTCCCCGTAAATCGGCTGTGAAGGTGATTAAAGGAGATCCTGAGTGAACGTTTGTGCACAACCGTTGCCTGAGTCCGACCGCCCTGGTAGGCATGTACCTGCGAGACATGTACTGGGCTGGATGTTAACTCTTTGGGGGACACGTGTCCCTTTGAGAATCCAATGAAAGCCAAAGATTCGTCCCTTACGTTCTTTTTTTTTTTTTTTTTTTTCCGGGCTAGAGTGAGTGCCGTGGCGTCAGCCTAGCTCACAGCAACCTCAAACTCCTGGGCTCAAGCAATCCTCCTGCCTCAGCCTCCCGAGTAGCTGGGACTACAGGCATGCGCCACCATGCCCGGCTCATTTTTTCTATATATTTTTAGTTGGCCGATTAATTTCTTTCTAATTTTTAGTAGAGACGGGGTCTCGCTGTTGCTCAGGCTTGTCTTGAACTCCTGAGCTCAAACAATCCGCCCTCCTCGGCCTCCCAGAGTGCTAGGATTACAGCGTGAGCCATCGCGCCCGGCCTCCCTTATGTTCTTGTTAGAATTAAAATAAGAGAATGTATTTTATGTCCTGTTGCAAACGGGAAAGCTTTGCACATGATTAGTGATTAGTATCATTATCTGTAGATGGGGAGTCGTGAGGATCCAATGCAATGCCACTGCTTGTAAACACTAAAGAACTATGACGTCCGGTGAGCTGGTTGCCATAATTATTCCTGATTTCAAATAAAGAAGCCGAGGCCCAGGGGGATAAATGCTGGGGTCCCACTGTGGGTGAGCCGCAGAGTGATGATTGGGAACCAGGCACTCTCCCTTCGCTTCCTTTGTGCTGGGCCCTCTCTCCCAGGAGTTTCACTAGAATCTTTTTGTTTGTTTTTTATACACGAATATATTCTTGCTTTTGTTTTTATTTTGTCTTCTCATACAAAATTATATGATGTACATTGTTCTTCAACTTGCTTTCTTAGTGTTAAAGTGTGTTGGAGGTCTTTCAGGTCAGTCCATACACAGCTATCTCACTGTCCTTAATTGCTGTTTACTATTTTATTATGAGAATGTGCCACAATTTATTTGGCTACACCAATAATTGGTAGACATTTTGGATTGTTTCTTTCTTTTCACTGTTATCAACAATAGAGAACATTTGTGTATGTCCAAGTCTTTCTGAAGGGTAAAATTTTAGAAGTAGATTCGCTGTCCCAAAAGTATGCATATTTAAAATTTTCCCAGGTTTTGCCCAATTGCCCTTGAAAGAATTATAGCATCTTATGTTTCCACCAATAGTAAATGAAAGTCTTTTTCTTCACACCCTCACCAGCAACGGGCAGTACTCACCTTTTTAAATTTAAATTTTTGCCAATATGATAGATGAAAATGTATCTTTTCATGATGTGTCGCACATGTTATTATTTTTCTCTCTCGTGTGTTATTAATATAAGGATAATTGTTTATATATATACCTTTAGCCAACTGACCATGGCTGTGCACCTTGGGAAAATGGATTAACTTCTATTAGCCCTGGTTTTCTCATCTCTAATATGGATAGGAAAATACCTACCTCTCAGGGTTGCTGCAAGGAATGAAAGAAATATATGATGTGCCCAGCACTGGGCCAGACCCATAGCGGATATACAGGAAGTGATATTAGTTAGTTTTTGTTAGTTATGTTTTGTGCCCTTTTCTTCTTTAAGGTCTTTCCTCCTGGATATTCCTCATATTTTATTCTTGTTCTGCCCTCTACAGACATAAGATTAATGCTTTCTCCTCTTCCACTCTCTTTTCTCCAGCGGAAACAATGCCAGGGCCTTCCAACATCCAACTGTTTTGAACAGTGGCATAGTTTCAACCCCGGTCAACATCTTGGTCCATACCCCTGTCCTCTCCACTACTAAATTGGGTGGGTGCATTCTGGTTTGTACAAGTCCTAAAGTATTGTGCCCAGGCCAAATGCTATCCCCTAGGTTGTTGGTTTACAGTTGTTTTTATTTTTATTTATTTATTTATTTTTACAGACCAGAAGTGCTGTATACAATTATTTTTAATTACAAACACATACCTACCAGTAAAACTGTCATGACCACACACCCCAAAATCTTTATTTGTATTTATTTTATTTATAAATCGTATATGTATATTTCTGTATTGTATATTATGAAACTTCCAAAGAGGCTTCTAAACTTTTATCATAAATTTAGTGAAATTAATTTCTACCTTGATGAAAACAGCACAATAGTTTTCATGTTCTTATTGGATGCACATCTTGCTGATTGTAATGATTCCTACTGTTAATTATCTTTTAATGATAGTTGATATAAAACCTTGCTTTAAATAGTCTTGAAAAGACCCCCTTTGACTTTTTTGGCCAATTTCTTTATTTTTATTTCATAATGTGGTAAAGGAAGACTTTATACCTAGGAGGAGGAAAAATGAGAGTTCTGCTTTTTCTTTTTGTTCACTTGTGCTTTTATAGTTGTTATCGTGAGTCTATAGTTTCTTAGAAGGAATATTTTTAAGCTACTTGTGTGCTATAAGTTAAAATTGGGTAATATGCAGGAAAAAATGAACGCTAGTCTGTGTCTCACACCATATACAAAAATTAATTCCAGATGAATTGTGGACCCAAATGTGACACGTAAAACAATAAAATTACCAGAAGTTAACATAAAATAAATCATCATGACCTTGTGGCAGGCAAAAATTTTTAAATGTGACACAAAATACTAATCATTAAAAAAATAATAAATTGGATTTCATTAAAATTAAGAACTTCTTCGATCAAAAGAAACCAATAACGGGCTGGGCACAGTGGCTCATGCCTGTAATCCTATCACTCTGGGAGCTCGAGGCCGGAGGATTGCTTGAGGCCAAGAGTTCAAGATCAGCCTGGGAAATAAAGCAAGACCTCGTCTCTTCAAAAAATTTAAAAATTAGCTGGGCACAGTGGCACATGCCTGTAGTCCCAGCTACTTGGGAGGCTAAGGCAGGAGGATTGCTTGAGCCTAGGAGTTCTGAGCTGCAGTGAGCTATGATTGATTGTACCACTGCACTCCAGCTTAGGTGACAAAGTGAGACGCTGTCTCCAAGAAAAAAAGAAAAAAACAAAACAAAACTCAAAAAGAAACCAATAAGCAAAAAAAAAAAAAAGATTGGGAGAAGATATTTTCAGTACTGTACATATCTATAATAGAAGATTTGTATCCAGCAGCATATAAAGAACCCTTACAAATCAATAAGAAAATGACAGACAACCCAATAAAAAAATGGCGAAAGATGTAAATAAGCATTTCACAAAAGAGAATATCCATATAAGTCCAAGGAGTAAAGGAGTATATGAAAAGGTGCTCAATTTAATTAGTTACTGAGGAAAAGCAAATTAAACAGTGCAATACCACTGCATACCTGCCAGAGTGGGTAAAATGAAAAAGACAGAAAAACGCCAGATATTGACAAGGATCTCCTGTACACTGCAGGTAGGAGTATAAATTGGTACAATCACTTTGGGAAACCATTTGACAATATCTATTAAAGCTAAATATATGAATACTCTATGACTCAATAGTTCTACCCCTAAGTGTGGAACTAGAAAAGTATACATATGTGTACAGAGATACATGTCCAAGCATGTTTTTAGCAGCACTATTTTTGATAGTTAAAAACTAGAAACAGTCCAAATGTCCATTATCTGTAGAGTAGACAAATGAATTTGGATGTGTTCACACGGTAGAATTTTATATAACAACAAACTACAACTACACACAACAACATGGATAAATCTCACAAACATGATGTTGAATGTAAGAAGCCAGGTGCAAAAGAGGCCACACCATACGAGTCCATGTGTGTAAAGTTGTTGAATGAGGCTTATGGGGTGCTGAAATGTTCTGTATCCTGATCTGGAGGGTGGCTGTGTGTGTGTGTGTGTGTGTGTGTGTGTGTGTGTAGTTAAAACTCACCAAGCCTTACACTTATGCTTTGTAGACTTTTCTGTATTTATATTTAAATAAAAAGTTTGCCTCTCCCTACTTTTCCTCTCCCCAAAATCTGGGTGATATCAGTAAATCTGCTTAACTAGGCCTATGTGAATTGCAATAAGTTACGATATGCTGAATGCAAATGTACAGGGTCAAGGTGCCATTGTCACCTCTGCCATGTTGTGAACCTACCCCTTTGTCAGGACATCTCACCTCCCATACAGGACAGGTGGCCTTTTGACATATGGACCAAGTGAGCGTCACTGTCATCAGTCTGGAAGTGAACTACACGTATAGCTTTATTTTTTTTAAATCGAGTATATGCAGAGGCGATTGCTCCAAGTGTGATTCTTACCAGCGTACAGGAATAAGTAGAGATTGCATGCCTTGCTCTAGACTGTAAAGCTGGTGATGCCAACTTATGACAAACTTACCTGTGGTTAACACAAACTGTAGGGCCACACAGACCTGGGTTCAAATACTGGCTCCCACTTAAAACCTGAGTCTTTCTAAACCTCATCTGTCAAATGGAGAGAATAAGGGGAGCTAGTCAGAGGGTAGTTGTAAGAGTTAAATGAGATATCACGTGCAAAGATCTTAGTACATCATGAGCATTCAACATATGGGAGGGTTTTACCAGGTGTCTTTATCTGTTTTCTGCTGCTATAACAGAATACCACAGACTGGGTAATTTATAAAGAAGTTTAATTGGCCTGCAGTTCTGGAGGCTGGGAAGTTCAAGAGCATGGCACTGGTATTTGGTGAGGGCCATCCATGGCAGAAGGCATCACATGGCTAGCGTGTGCATGAGACAGAGAGGGAATGGCTGCCGAACTTATCCTTTCATCAAGAGCCCACTCCCGAGTAACTAACCTACTCCTATGATAATGGCATTAATCCATTCATGGAGCTCTCATGGCCCAATCACCTCTTAAAGCTCCCACCTTTTTTTTTTTTTTTTTTTTTGAGACAGAGTCTCACTCTGTTGCCTGGGTGAGTGCCTTGCTTACAGCAACCTCAAACTCTTTGGCTCGAGCAACCCTTCTGCCTCAGCCTCCGAGTAGCTGGGATTACAGGAGTGTGTCACCATGCCCGGCTAATTTTTTCTATATATTTTTAGTTGTCCAGCTAATTTCTTTCTGTCTTTTTAGTAGAGATGGGGTCTCGCTCTTGCTCAGGCTGGTTTCGAACTCCTGAGCTCAAACAATCTGCCCGCCTCGGCCTCCCAGAGTGCTAGGATTACAGGCACGAGCCACCACACCTGGCCAAAGCTCCCACGTTTTAATAGCATTTACAATGGCAATTGAATTTCAACACAAGTTTTGGTGGGTACATTTAAACCATAGCACCAGGACTGTTAATAGCAACATGATAAAATATGTCTTCATTATTTGAGAACAATGGCATAAGGTCACTGATCCAACTATTTGTACCTCTGACTTTTTCTGACTCTAGGAGAAGGGAGCATTGGCCTTTCCTTCATTAGGCCGAAGATGCCTCTCTTTGGGAATACATTCAGTCCGAAAAAGACGCCTCCTCGGAAGTCTGCTTCTCTCTCCAACCTGCATTCCGTGAGTGTCAGTACCAGGCTCAGCCTGGTGTGAGAGTGACTGGAGTGCCAAGCCTGGCCTCTGCGTGGAAAGTGTGCTCCTCCAGAGCATTGTCACAGGAAGGCTTCCTTTCAATTCATACCGTTGCTATTGCTAAGAGCATTTTGGAACTCCTGTATAGGAATTATTGTCAGAGCTTATCCAAGAACCTAATAAGACCGTCAATTTCATTATGATTTTTGGCTCCCAAGAATATTATCCAATTTGATGTCCACTTTATTCCCAAGATTTGGCCAGGAATTGGTTTTAGTCATGTTTAAGAATCAAATTCATTCTCAAAGGATGATGGTTTGCCACCATTAATGGCATTCAAATGGATATGTCACAGCTCCTAAAACAGTTGAGATGTTCTAAAAATTTTGGGAGGAATGACAATAGCATTGGAATAAATGATAACTTTCCAAAGCAACTTACTACTCACTTGAATGGATAAGCTCTATGAGTTTAAAAATTGTATTACATAAAGTCAGAACACATGGAAATCGCTTTCCAGCTCCAGCTATGAGATGCCTCCCCTCCATCCTCCGCAGACCCCATATACACAATCACCCTCACTTTTTTGCTGAAGTCTTCGGAGCATCTGTGACCAAATACTGGGTTCTAATCTCTACCATAATCCTATTTGCCGTTGCTGGCTGTCACACACCAAGAAGTGAGGGACCCTGGTTTCTCTATCTGACCTTTTCCTGCAGAGCTAGTCCCTCACAGGTGAGTAGGGTAGAACAGCCAGGCTGTTAGGCTGAGCATTAACCCCAGCTTTCGGGTCATGGGGTCCATTGTCCCAGTCCCCAGTTAAACTCGTGGTAGGGGAGCCCCACTGTGGCCAGGGCTGGGTGTCCTGTGACGCAGGCCAGGCAGAGGCCCAGGGGCCCAGTTTCCGGGGCCCTCAGGCCTTGAGGCTCCCTTTCCTCCCTGCCGTGTGTCAAATGATGAACAATATTTGATAGCACAACAAAGTGAGTATAGTCAACAATAAGTTATGGAATACTTTAAAATAACTGAAAGAGTGGAATTGGAATGTTCCTAACACAAAGAAATGATAAATGCTTAAGGTGATGGATACCCCAGTTATACTGATTTGATTATTACACATTGTATGCTTGTATCAAAATATCACATGTACCCTATATGTTTACACAACTGTTATGTACCCATAATAATTAAAAATAAAAATTAAAAGAAAATGCAGATGCACCTTGCAGTCTCTCTGGACAGCCTCTCTGAACCCCACCGTGTTAAGAGCAGCAGCATGCTTATGTGACATCTGTCTCTGACCGTGACATGGAAGCAGTCCTCCTTTGCAGTGTTTTACACATGCTGACAGGCGTGAGAAGCTGTGGTAGGGACAATTATTACAGGATAATGTCCCAGATACTCACAGTGGCACCAAAGGCCTGTCACAGCGTTGTCGCAGCTCTCCTTCCTGCCTGTGCCCTCTACACACCTTATGCTGTAGCCACCCAAGCTTCATGTGAGCCTCCTTTGTACATGCTATTCTCTCTGTCTAGAGTGTTCTTCCCTGTTCATTAATTCAACAGCTATTAACTGATAACTCTCTGTGTGCCAGCCATTCTTCTAAGCACTGGGTATACAGACGTGGATTAAGGCGAGGACAGGAAAAATCCCATCTCTGCTTTCATGAAGCAAGTATTTTAATAGGAAAGGATACAGAAAATAAGTTTATATCAGATGGTGATAAGTGCTATGGAGCAAAACGAAGCACAGGCTCGGGGTAGGGAATGGCCGGGTGGTGGGAATGGTGTTGTCATTTTAAATAGGAAGGTCAAGGGAGGCCTGAGAAAGGGACACAGGCACATACCTGAAGGACTCCTCCTGTCGAGCTGCTCTTGAGGCAGAGCTGGTCATAGTGATCACTGAATACCCAGCACTGGTCCTGAGTCAGGGTGGGTGCTCAGTGAGTTGTGTAAATGAACATATAAATTGTACTGTAACACATTAAAAAGCAAGTGCTACTACTAATTGAGTGTTAGAATTTTATGCCTTTTCCATGACATAGGTAGCTTCATATTAAGCAAGTGATACCTTAGGGGCTTTCGACAATTAAAAGGGATTTTTCACTTAATTAAAAATTTACCCCATGCCTATAATCCTAGCACTCTGGGAGGCCAAGGCAGGCGGATTGTTTGAGCTCAGGAGTTCGAAACCATCCTGAGCAAGAGCGAGACCCTGTCTCTACTAAAAATAGAAAGAAATTAACTGGACAACTAAAAATATGTAGAAAAAATTAGCCGGGCATGGTGGTGCATGCCTGTAGTCCCAGCTACTCGGGAGGCTGAGGCAGGAGGATCGCTTGAGCCCAGGAGTTTGAGGTTGCTGTGAGCTAGGCTGACGCCACGGCACTCTAGCCCGGGCAACAGAGTCAGACTCTGTCTCAAAAAAAAAAATTTACAGTTGGATTCCTTAAACTGTTAAGTGTCTAGCAGATACAAAATAATTCAACTTACAAATTTCAGCATATATATCTTTTCTGGAAAACATCTAATGTATAAAGCAGTACATTTATTCTCTCTTGTAATTTAAAAATTTTTTGTACATGATTCGATTTTCTGGCCTTTTAAAAAGTCATTAAAGGTGCCCGGTAATGATTACAGAAAAGAAATGAGTTGGGTTCACAGAGTTAGTGGAAGAGGAGCTGGGACTAGGGCCCATGCTCTGCGGCCTGCTGAAGCTGTCACACAATGTCTCGCCCACAGCTGGATCGCTCAACCCGGGAGGTGGAGCTGGGCCTTGACTATGGAACCCCCACTATGAACCTGACAGGGCAAAGCCTGAAGTTTGAAAATGGCCAGTGGATAGCAGGTGGGCTGCCTTTCCTGCCATTTTGTCAAACAAGATTATAGAAGGAAACCCCTTTCTACTGGTTTAACCGTTGGTTCTGTCCTTCCTCCAGAGACAGGGATTAGTGGAGGTGTGGACCGGAGGGAGGCGCAGCGCCTTCGCAGGCGGAACCAGCAGTTGGAAGAAGAGAACAATCTCCTGCGGCTAAAAGTGGACATCCTGCTAGACATGGTGAGGCAGGCAGTGGGGAAGGGATGCCTAGGTTCTCCTGGGTGGCTCCACCTCCCTCGAGTCATTTAATCCAACAGGTACCTCTTCAATGCCATTTTGCCCAGCTACATTGCTTTGTGTGCACACACACACACAAAAGAGACACAGTCCCTGCCTCTCAAGGGCTCACAATCTAGAGGGGGAGGTAGACAATCAACATGATTACAGTGCCTGTGGCAAGGGCAAAAGTTGGAGTCTGTGCAGGGTCTGGCACAGGACACGAGAGAGAGAAATTAATCTTGTCAAGTCAGGAGAGCTTCGCAGAGGAGGGGATATGTGAGCTGAATGCACAAGAATAACAGCGGGAACTGAGTTCGGGACGAAGACATTCCAGGAAAAGGGAACAGCCTGCTCATTGCTTGGAGGTGTCACGTACCAAGTGGGCCTCAGTCAGTAGTTGGCACAGACCTGCCGAGGGGCCCCCACTGAGTCAGCGCCAGTTGTCCGCTGTTAAGAACCAGCAGCGTGTTGGGTCTAGAGAGCACGTGAAGGTGGATCGAGAGGAGGCACGTGCCGAGGGGGTAAGAGCGGAAAGGCCTGGGTTTCCTGCCCAGCTCCCCGCACTGGCCAACCACGCTGTGGCTTAGTCTCTTCAGCAATGAAGTGGGCATAATACAGTAGTAGTGTCTAACTCGTAGTGCGTTAGTGCGAGGAAAGCACCTGGCAGAGTGCATCGCTCAGGAAGTGTAGCCCTTATTTCACGGAAAGCTGACCCGTAGTTTACAGAGTTGATGTCTCTGTGTCCCTATTGCATCTCCCATCTTCTACTCTAAAGTTCATTAAAGGATCCTGATGAGGAAAGTGACATTTCTTTTTCAAGCATTTTTTTTTCTAAATTGCCATTATGTGAGCTGCAAAAGCAACTTAATCTCTAATCCCTTAGCCTTTAAATCACCAATATCTGTCTTTTTCATCCTTTGAGGCCTGCTGTCCTTCATACAGGGAGTGCCATGCCATCATAGGTGACAGATTGTTGACAAAGTGGATTGTGAATATTCTTCAAATACTTGTGGTCCTGGGTTGTCCTGTCAGGGTTCCCACCGTGGAGGCAGCAGTGTCAGAGAAATGCAGGGGCTTTTCCTCAGTGCATAGGGCTGGCCTTGACAACTCAGAACATAGCCCAGAAATGCCATTCACAACAGCCTGCTGCTTTACTTTCAGCTTTCAGAGACCACTGCTGAATCCCACCTAATGGAGAAGGAACTGGATGAACTGAAGAGTGTCAGCCGGAGGAGAAAATGAAGACCTGAGACTGTCGTTAGGAGAGCAGGGAGAAAGCCACTGATCGGGGAGGGGTAGCATGTGGCTGAGCAGATTTTTTTTTTTTTTTTTAGCCAAACTAGTATATTGGGACCTGTGAGAGAGATCATACAGTGGAGCCAGCAGGCACTGGCACCTTGGGCTGGCAGTAGGAAGGTGACATGCGATGGAGGAGACTATGAGATTCCAGTCCAGAGCGATGACTAGCAATGGGCTCCAGATGCACGGCCTCGGGACGCCAGGCCACAAACCAGGCCTCAGGGAGGCCTGTGGGCAATGGTAAGCCTTTTGGTGCTCTCTACACACATAGGCAGACAAGTGCACGTGGCCCAGAATCACCCTCTTGGACAGGCATTGTTGGGAGCAGCAGCTGGAGTTCATCATCTCATCGCCTTACGCTGGTGTCTGGGGTGCAGCACCAGCTCTAAAGAGCCCCGCATCAGGGGGTCTCAGAACCAAGAGTGTCTCTCTGCCTGCCTTCGAAGAATGCTTGCCCCGCTCATCCACCACTTCCTTTGGCTTCAGCTTCCCAGCAGCAAGCACCAGCCTTCCACGGCAACACTCTATTTTTGTGCTACTTTCCTGTTTACACTACTTTTTTATTAAATGATGTTAAATCATCTCTCTGTGGCCAAAATGACTGAAAAAAGCAGCATGAGTTCCTCAAGAAGTAAATGGAGCATGGAGTCTAAGTTTCTGTTGCTCCATCAAAACACAGAACTTTTGGTGTGCCCCCAGAAATGTCATTCTTGCAGGAGAGCATTCCAGCCTTCCCAGGCACTGGCAAAAGCCAACCTGAAACAGAAACAGTCTCTTTCTGCTCAAATTCCCCAGCCCTCCTGCTTTAGGAGTTGGAACTAGCCAGGACCTGTCAGGGACCCAGTGGTTGGTGTGGGAATTTGTGCCTGAGTCAGCGTGAGCTGGACTTCTCTGGCTGGAGGAGGGAACCCAGCTTCTGAAGTCAAGCAGAAGGGCACTAAGGGGGGGGCATATTTGCATGTCACAGTGATACAGATCTCCCTGGCACCACTGGCACCTTAAGGGGCTGGAACCAGGGACCCTAAACATCCTGCAGTAGGTGGGGCAGTTCTGCAGTGAAGAAGGACTTTTGGGTGAGCAAGGAAGCAAGCCATTGTAGAATGTGAGCAGAGGAATACTATGATCCAACTGGCTTTTGGGAAGGAGGGCAAGGCTGGGCCAGGCGGGAGGCGGCAGGAGAGGAGGTGAAGCAGCCAGATTCAAGATGGGACTTGAACGTGGAGCCCAACAGTGTTTGCTAATGGTTTCAGGGTTTAAGACAATTCAAGAATAATCCTGTTTAAAATCTCCAGGAGAAAAGGGGAAAAAATCACTCATATCTCACTTCCCTAACCCCATTTCCTTCAGGGAGGTGTTCTGTTTTTCCTTTGAGCTACTGTGTATTTTCAGCTACCTGTTTAGTCAGATACATCCCTCAGGTTCTGGCCAAAATTCTTCCTCTTCAAAGCCTTAACCAAATCTACCACTTATGGGGGTACCCAAGTAAACAGTGCTGTCTCCTTGACATTATCTCTTGTAATCACTACAACAATTTTGTGAATTTTTGTGCCGAGTGTTGGTTTAGGGAAGGACTGTCACTGAAGAGCAGAAATAGAAAGTTGTGTGGGCGTGAGGCAGTGAGCGCAGGATTAGAGGCAATAATCAGGAAATCTTCCACTTTGGGTCCTAGCAAGGGGACCCCTCTGCACAATGGTACAGGTATGGGTGAAGGTGCATCTTTTTAATGGGAGGGGCTGTACAGCTTTTATAAGATTTTCAGAGGGATCCATACTCCTTCCCCCAGCTAAGAACTACTGTACCACCAGTTCCAAATTCTGCCAGGACTGAAACAGGAAGGTGGAAATCTTGGACTTGAGGGACTGGGAATGGAGGAGCTCGGAGCCCAGGGATCTAGGACACCCCTCCCCCATCCAATGGGAGTGTTACTGTGGCTCCCAGCCTGGAGCATCAACCACTCACTTGCTAGCACCCTAATTTGTCCCCTTGTCCATTGACGTGACCTCTGGCCTGGCCCCAGTCTCACCATATGTCATCTTTGCTGTTGAACATTTCTCCTTGAAACCTTCAGTGATGCCACACTCCCCTGGTTTCCCTCCTCCTCCCCTGACCTTTAAATGTCTGATTCCACAGGGCTGTGTTCTGTGTCTTCTGTTCTCACTCTGCCTTTTCTAGCTCTTCTAGCTCGTCTCATCTACTTCCAAACTTTTTTTTTTTTTGAGACAGAGTCTCACTCTGTTGCCGAGGCTAGAGTGCAGTGGCGTCAGCCTAGCGCACAGCAACCTCAGACTCCTAGGCTCAAGCAATCCTCCTGCCTCAGCCTCCAGAGTAGCTGGGACTACAGGCATGTGCCACCATGCCCAGCTAATAATTTTTTCTATATATTTTTAGTTGTCCAGCTAATTTCTTTCTGTTTTTAGTAGAGATGGGGGTCTTGCTCTTGCTCAGGCTGGTCTTGAACTCCTCCTGGCCTCGAGCGATCCTCCCGCCTCGGCCTCCCAGAGTGCTAGGATTACAGGTGTGAGTCATCTCGCCCGGCCTTACTTCCAAACTTTTGAATACTCTGTATGGCATGATTCCCAAGATTTTCTCTTATCCCTTGGCAATTTTATAATTATTGAGAGAGTTCTTTTAGCCTTAAACAGTTTTTTTAAGTCATGTATTGCTCTAATAAGCAAAATTAATTGGTTTTCCTAAAACTTCTTCACATTAGTATTGTGAATTATAATACTTTCCACTTGGAGTCATCGGTGTCTGAGCTATCAACATAAGATCGCCCTCTCAACCTTCAGTGGTGTTGGTCTTCTTGCATTTCTTTAGAGAACCCACAAAAGAACTAAAAGACATTGGCACTGGGTTCTTAAGCTGCCCTCAAATTTATACAGAGCTAGCCTACTTTAAAAAGACCTTTTTAACACATGCAAAAAGCATAATTCGTAAGTGTACACCTTGATGAATTAGCCAAAATGAACATACTCATGTACGTACCACCTAGGTCAAGAAATAGAATCTTACAGGATCCAGAAGCCACTCTCCTGCCCCTTTCCAAAAATCACTCCCCCTTCCTCCTCAAAGGGAATCACTATCCTGACTTCTCGCTGTAGATTGGTTTTGCATGTTTTTGAACTTTATATAGTAGAATCATACAGTAGGTAAGTTTTGTGACAGGAAGACTTTCTTATAGTCAGAGCTGCTCTGTCCAAGGCTGGAAAGGCCTGAGGACTGTATCAGGAGGAATTGTGAGCCCCCGTGTCCCACTGAAGTATGTAAGCATAGGACAGAGACTCACTACCACAATCTCATGCATCAGGTAAGGATCTGGACTGTCTAATTCTGGGAGTCTCTGACTCCAGGATCAGTTGGTTAAAAGTGTTTATCAAATTACTCTTGTATTAATAACTTGTGGGGCATGTTATAAAAAGCATTTACATCCCCCATATAGGCAAAAAATGAAAATATGGATAATACCTAATGCTGGGGAGAGTGTGGTGGAAAAGGATACTTCCATTTACTGTACTATTATGAAAGTATGTCATTCTTTGGAGGGCAATTAGCTAATACCCAGCAAAATTTTACAGGTGCATGCTTTCTGACCAGCACAGCCACTTATAGAGATCCAGGCTCTAGAAATGCTTGCAGTAGCCTTGTATGGTGCCTCAATTTCCTCATCTCTAAAATGGGGATAGTAGTGCCTGCTTCAATGGGTCGTTGTCGAGATTAAACGAGTACACACCACAGAAAATCACACCCACACCCACACCAGTATTAACTCTTACCTTTGTTTTAGTACACTGGGATGGTTTACTTGATGTTTTCCCAAAACATCAATTGCTAATTTATTCCTACCAAATAATACACCCCTCTGGAAAATGAAACTGCCTTAGTGTTTCTCAAAGTGTGACCCCCAGGGAAGCTTGTTAAAATGCAGGTTTCTGGGCCCGCCCTAAACCCCCTGAACAGAATTACTGCGGAAGCGCCTCTGCCCCGGCAACTTCCTGGCTGTGTCTTAGGCCCCCTGCAGTCTCAGAAGCCCAGGGAAGACGAAGTAAGGCCCTTCAGGGATGCGGGCCGCGGCCGGACAGGCTGCAGGGAGTCGGAGGACCTGCGGGCCAGAGGGCGCCACTGTCTCCGGCTCTTCGTGTCTCGCCTCCCGGAAGGGCGGCTCTGTCCGCCGGTAGGCAGAGCTCGCCTGCTCTCTTCCGCTTCCGGTGTCCCTGTACAACCATGGCTGCTGCCGCCGTTGCTGCTGGAGCCGGGGAACCCTTGTCCCCGGACGAATTGCTCCCGAAAGGTGACGTGGAGAAGACTGAAGAGGAACTGGAAGAGGACGACGACGACGAGGTGCTAGGGCCCTGCGGGGTGCAGGGCGGGGAGCGGGCCCGCGGGTGTGGGCTCCGCGTGCTGCGAGATCGGGGCAAAGGCGGCTCTCCGGGAGGCGGGGTTGGGGCCCCACTGGGCCCGGGGGTGCCCTAGCTCCAGGGGAGGGGTCGGTGTCTCCCGGCGCCGAAGCGCGGCCAGGAGTGAATGCCGCTGCTTCTGCCAAGACCTGCTCCTCTTCCACTACAGCTAGATGAGACCTTGTCGGAGAGACTCTGGGGTCTGACGGAGATGTTCCCGGAAAGGGTCCGGTCCGCGGCTGGAGCCACTTTTGATCTCTCCCTCTTTGTGGCTCAAAAAATGTACAGGTAAGGAACGAGGGTAAAGACACTGGGAATGTACATGCGGTAACTGTGGTACTGTGAAAGAACACGGGTTTATGAACAGCAGACCTGAGTTCGAGTGACCTTGGGCTGGTTGTGCCCTAACCTTTCTGAATCTCCAGTTCTTCTTCTGTAAAGTGGGGGTTCTTACCTGGCAGGATCGTTGTGGGGATCATTTCAGATTATCTGAACTGATGAATGTGTAAGCTGCTTTGTAAGAACTCAGGAGAATGCTGAGTTCTGCTATCACTAGATTACACAGCTACCAGTACTGCTCCTCCTATTTTAGGAGTTTGGTGCAAGAATTGGGTAGAATATGTTTATCAAAAACACTGGAGTACGTAGTGTGAGAAGTTTGGTTACTGGTTCATTCTTGCCTGTTTTGTTTGCATCTCTCTGTGCTCACCCTCCCTCTGCAGGTTTTCCAGGGCCGCCTTGTGGATTGGGACCACTTCTTTTATGATCCTGGTTCTTCCTGTTGTCTTTGAGACTGAGAAGTTGCAAATGGAGCAACAGCAGCAACTGCAGCAGCGGCAGGTAAGCCCAGACCCTGTTTTTTTTTTTTTTTGCCTTTGGTGGAGACATGAGTTAGTTATTTCTACAGCAACTGAGTAGACCAGTGGCTGACAATGTGGGTAGGGACTGGGATCAGACCGGTGCTCTTTTAGGTGCCCGACTGTGCTCTCAGCATTGTTTTTGTAGACCTTGTCTGACCCACCAGGTATGAAAATGAGATTCCTGGGCCTGTACAATGCCTTACACCTCTCCTTTTCTTTTCCAGATACTTCTAGGGCCTAACACAGGGCTGTCCGGAGGAATGCCAGGGGCTCTACCTTCACTTCCTGGGAAGATCTAGATTGTTTCTGCTATATTTGAGCTGTCTTGGTGGGAGAAATTTGAAATTCAATAGTATTGGAACTGCTATTATTTGGATTTTTTTTTTTAAACTTTGGCACACTGATCTGTCTAAACCTGGGGGTGGGGAAATTCTCCCCACATTGTCTCACGGAAAGTCTGTCAGCTTGCAACTGTGCCCTCCACACTATCCTGACTTACTTCTTCTGTCTTCACTCTGATACCAGAGTGCAACCATGCACATGGTTATTCCAGCTCTGGCCACTCACCCCTCTCACGGAATTGCTCCTAACTGGAAGATCTCACTATCCCATTGTGGGGTAGGAACTGATGCCAGTGGGAGGGATGTATCCCTGACCATTAGCGACTTTTTGTTTTCTTTTAAAGAATGGCGATGTCAGGGAGGGACATGCACACAATATGAAACAGGCAGAACACATTACAACTGTAATGTAAAGCGGCCACTATGAATCCCTATATATGCTGGAGAGGAGGAAGGCCGGCTGCGGCTTCAGCCACAGGATGGGGACTGTGGAGGACAGAGCAGGAGCTCATTTCCTCTGCACATTTTGGCTATTAGACCTGTGTTAAAAAAAAAAAAAAAAAAAAAAACAAAAAAAACCAGTGCTCACTTTTTGTATTTAAATATTAAAAATGATTCCAACTGAAAGTGTCATACATGTGCTTATGATAAGTACCTCAAAATTACTTAGACCATTTTAGAAAGTCAAAGACATATACTGCCCCTCACATTTCTTCTCTGAGCCAGCACCTCCATATTAACACTGATTCACCCCATAGGCCCAAGTTTCCAAAAGCGAGAAAGAAAATTCATTTTTGGCCAAGTATCTCTTAATAGCAATCTTTGCCTTTAATTCAGCCAATCGCTTTCAAAACCTACCAGCCTAAAACAAAGGACTGGGCCCATGTACTTGGTACACAGTCTACAATGAGATTATACAGTTACAAAATGTGCAGTGAATAACATAGTGCTGATTTCTAATCTGGGGGATGGGGGAAGAGTTGCAAATTGAATATTTTGTGACCCAGGTTTTTTTAAAGGGATTGCTGAGATGAGCCATAAATGATGAATCTATCTGTAGCCCTGTCTTTGAACTTTGCAGTGTTTCTTTTTTATTTTTAGAAGACAGTCTTGCTCTGTCACCCAGGCTGGAGTGCGGTGGCACAATCATAGTTCACCGTAACCTCAAACTCCTGGGCTTAAGTGATCTTCCTGCCTCAGCGTCCCCAATAGCTAGGACTATAGGCGGTGCACCACCACACCCAGCTAATTTTCTTTCTTTTGTAGAGACAGGGTCTTGCTATGTTGCCCAGGCTGTTTTTCCATTTAACATAAGTTTTTATTGATCATTGTGCTAATAATGGTACTAAGCCTTTTATGTGGATTATTTATCAGAACAGTACTGTACAATTTTGGAGGTGGTATTCCCATTTTAGAGAGGAGGAAACAGCCACAGAAAAGTTCATTCTACTATGTTGCACAGTAGGTGCTGGACCTTGATTCAAACCCAGGCGGTCTGACTATACAGAACATGGCTGTGTACTCTGGATGCTGAGACTGGGTTTAGGCCCTGATCTTTCACTTGTCAACTAGGAAGAAATACCAGTCACTAGCCAGTGTGGTAAAAATTTATACTTACTTAGGTGGCTTTAAACTATCAAGCCTAATTTTTGTAAATCAAGATAAATTGGAAAATGCCTCAGGCATCTTTTGAACCAAGTCCCACTTAAGTGAATATTTTGTTTCAATTCAGGTGAGAGGTTTGATCGAAGCACAATACAGCTCTAAAAGATGATACAATGGTGATTAATTTCTTTTAGAGCAGCATTATACTAAGTAAGGTGTCTTTTCTTTATAAAATTATAGAATTCAGGCAGACAGACAAGGCGATTTATATACGGAGTTTTCCATTTTTAATATTTGGTTAAACAAAATACATCTTTTGTAAACAAACCCAGCACAAGGCCAACAAAAAAAGGGAATAAAAGCAAGAAAAACAAAAAGCCTAGGGTTGCCCCTTCCTGGGCATCAGGGTCAGGCGCGCTCCCTTCCTAAAGGAAGTGGGGCCTTCTGCCCTTGGGCGTCAGCATGGGTCCCTGCTCCTAAGCACCAGAATTGGATATGAATAGAGAAACCAGCCCTGAAATGTTTCAGCGTCTTTGCATATCCCATTGGCTCATGGACTCCAAGTGCATGGGGACTCCTTTCGAAGTGCCATTTGCACAGGCCCAAGCAGGTATGTGGAGAGGAGTTTCCTCCCCTTCCCAGGAAATGGCTTGCTACCAGACAGTGCCAATGGACCCAAGGTCCTACTGTGCCAATCAGCCATGTTGGCTGTAACTTCTGGCTGGTGGTGGTTGGAATGTCACTGTGCAGGAGTAAAGAGCTCCCTGTGGTGCCAAGCAGGTCTGGTGTAGAAAATGGTGCAGAAGAGACTGCGGCCAGTTGCTGAGAGGGAATAATGCAGTAGCCGCTCGGTGGCTTCTGTTACTCAGCGTAAAAAATGGCCTTGTTGGATTGAAGATACATGTGCAGAAAAGTGCTGGTGTAAACATGCACTCCAGTCACAGTGGGGAGAAAGCCTCAGCTTCACCCCGATAAGCTTGCTCAGGATCGGCATGCAAGCCCCAGGCCGGCTTTGCTGCTGGAGAGATGTCTGGCCAGTGGAGCAGCTCTCAGACCTGCCAAGACCACTGATCTTTAAGGGCTAGTGGGTCATCCCTGCCTGCCCACCTGCCTTGAGGCAACCACAACCACGTTGGGGACACGTGTGTGGTATATTTATTTCCCCTCTTATTTTCTAAAGTTACAGGAGAAAAGTGGCCTACAACTATTTCAAGAGGTAGGGGGTGGGTCAATCCTCAGCTGATTTGTAAAGGAAACTACATGAAGATGACAAACCCAGGTCCTAAGACAATGCACACAACCACCCAATTTGAGGGCTCTGCTTGTCAATGTAGTGACTTGGACTCTGAGCCTAGGATGTCGGTTCACCCTGGCTGCTCTTAAGCTCTGAGAAGCTTATCTTCACAATACTTTCCTTACCCAACTCTGTCCCAAACTAGTGAAGTTTCATGTCAAAGGCAGACTTATTTTTTTCTTACTTTGCCAGAGTGGGTCAACTGGGAAAATTGCTCTTTACCTTGTCTTTTGCCCCAGAACCTCTCAAATCAATGTAGTGAAATGGTAGAGACAAAACTGGAGTGAAGAAAGCAAGCCACCCCAGGCCTGTCCCAGTTAGGGTTTAGCCACATCCTCTTAGGTATCCATCTCACCTCTGTCACACTAGAATGTTGTGGGATTCAACCACATGACTTGGAATATGAGAGAACTTTTCATTAGAAAACTCCCAGGCTGGCCATAAGCCACCGTGAAAACTGGGGGTGAGAGAAAACAGCATGTACCACTGCTAGGGTTTTGGAGATGGTTTCCTGAGAGACGTTTATGCTCTGGGTCCTTCAAGCCAGTCACATGGGCTTTATGTATACTGTCTTCAGACCCCCTGGTGTGACAAGAGGGAACGTGGAGGCAGCATCTCCAGATGAGTCTGGAGCAGCGGTGACACTCCAGCAGAACCTGTGTCAAGTCCTCATAGAAAGTGGAAATGAGCCAGGACCCCCCCCTCCCCCTTGCTTTCTCCTCAAATAAAACGGGTTTGTGATCGCTGGCCTTAAGAGTGTACAGAGCTCCTATCTTCCTTTCCCAGGAACAAAACATTGGGTGGTTCTTGTAACAGTCCATGCATCTGTCCTATTGCACTGTCAAATCTGAAGGGGAAAGCCCCGATGAGATGTTTGGGGAAGTGGCAAGGGCAGACCCACAGCAGAGGCCACAGCACATCACAGAGGACTGAAGGGGCTGAGGCAAGGGCAAGGTTGGGCAGAACCATGTTACACATCAGTCCTCCAACTCTGATGGGCCTCCACTGCTTCTGGTACCACCAGCAGGAGTTCACAGTTCTTTCCTCGCAAATGATGTTTTAGAAATTTCCTACAAAAAAAGGAATAGACAATCCACTCGGGCATCTTGAGTTTGGAGTCGAGGTTATAGTAGGCCCCTCCCACCTCTCGAACACAGATCCAGT